TGAGTGCGAAAGTGCGACTCCACAATGGTACTTTTAGTTTCATATTCTTACCTTTCCTCCCTGTGTAAACCCTTTTGGACTTAACTCTAAAGAGTATCACTCCCCTAGTAATGTTGCTCGCTGGGGCAGCTGTCCGAATCTAGAGAAGGTTAACGAATCATGACAACCCACGGAAAAAATATTCACATCCTAGCACCAGAGGAAGTCCCAAATTCTACTGGTGTATGAATCTGGACGCACATTAGGCGAAAGCCTGTTTTCGTCCTAGAAACCTGACTTGACTTGATTTCTTCTCAGTTGATGTTAAGGTACGAGAGACAAGCGATAGGTTGTTCCGTCTCATTGGGCCACACATGGGAAATAACAAAGCCTATGCCGTAATTTGAAGCGTCTGCAGCGATCACAAGCGGCAAATTGGGGTCATAATGGCATAGCAGAAAATCAAAGCTCAGTATGGTTTTGAGCTTGGTAAGGGCGAGTTGACATTTCTTTGTCCACTTCCAAAGCACATAATTTTAAAGGAGGTCATTCAGTGGTGCACGGATAATGTGTAACGTCGGAAGAAATGCACTATATTAGCTGAACATGCCCAGAAAAGACCGTGTTGTGGAGACATCTCGTCGTGGCTGCATAGCTGCATAGCCTGGACGTTTTCGGGATCAGGACGATGTCCTTGGGCGTCAAAGAACTTGCGGTACATTAGCGCCCGGTTTGAAATTCAAAGTGCTAGTGATCGAAAGTATTTTTACTCAGCTAATTGTGAAATATCAATAGATATTTCGAACTATATATAGTGAAATATCCAATTTCACTATTAGTTTCGTTTTATGACCTCAAAAGGGCCACACCTTCAAAGTGTCACATAGTTAAGAGTGAAATATCAGTAGATAATTCCTAGGCTTTTTCCCAGTCAATTTATCGTACAGTCGACCCAACTGGTTGGCCAGTTTTACTTTTTGGGAATCTTTGATCCCGTTTTAACAACGGCTTGATTCATTTTTGGTTGAGTATTTTTGTCCAGGGGTATTTGCAATTTGAGGTGATTTTTTCTATATATTGTTTTTCCCGAACGATACGTGATCTGTATCCGTTGTTACTAAAGCAACCAAGGTACAGCATCCTGACACGTGTGGATCAGTGGTTGTGGTAGAGTGGTTAGTAATGGTATCCGGTGTAATAGGTGGGGCTCGNCAGCATGGATAATTGAAGTGGATATGCGCACACTGCGAGGCTCTGATAGAGGAATGTTCTTGCATTCTAAAACTTGGAATCAAACGAGAAAAATGTTTGAGAAGTGGGGCAGTAAGTCACTTTGATTCTTTAAAAAATATTAGGTGTCTTAGTCCTGTCAGTGCTATTTCATGTGTTTATTCAGATGTTAAGGACATCGATATGTTTAGATTGCGGCCTCCTGAATTAGAGCAGGAGTTGAAATTAGCTAGACAGAAGATAGAACAAAAAAAACGTGGAAAAACGATTTCAACGGTGCAACAACACCTCCAGCTGAGAGTGCCCATGGTAGCTACTTTTCGAATAAAGAATCTGTCCTAAAGCTCAGAACGTGAGCCCATGTAAACGGTAATTTGCCAAGAGTCGAACTGACACCAGTCGATGTCAATCCCGGAGAATACTGCCAAGTTATTCGTCAATATGGAAACTTCGTTGAATGCAAAACCACCAATGCAGGGTAAAGGTTTCTGTTCTTGCTACATTATTGTCCTGGGAAAGGCTAAGGAGGCCATACAAGGGTGTACACTGCTGAAACCGGAAGTGGGCTACCCAAGAGCGAGAAAATACTGCAGGAGATGTTTGGACAACCATCCCGAGTGGCATGTAAAATGGTTGACGGGGTGCTAACACATGTGAGACGCAGACGGGGCGATACTTGGTCCCTATCAAACTTGGTCATTAAGATGCAGAACTGCAGCATCGCCCTCAACCACCTCGATTAACGATCGGACTTGGATGCACTACATACACTGGAATCGATAGTTAGATGTTTGACGGTCAAACTGCAGACAGCCTGGGCGACCGAGGCCGATCAAATAGAGAAAAGGAACAGAGAAGCAACTTTTGACGAACTCATTGAATTCATAGGCTACCAATCTCGCATAGCACACAGTAGATTCGGTCAACTGGCGAGCGAAAGCATAAGAACCGCCAGACCTTCAACCATCTTTGCGCCATTTGGGTCTTGGGGTCTCCATTCCCCATACAATTGGGCGAGCGTCAATCTAATCTCATACCAGCCACGAAAACCGATTAAGTGCAAACTGTACTGGGGTGTCCACAAGCTTTTAGCCTGCCCGGAATTTTCGGACAATAGCTAAGAAGACAGGGTTCTCCCTTGTGTGCTTCAGCAATACCCACAGAGTAGCCTTATGCAGAAACCGAACCAAATGTGGTCAAGACAACTGCAGTGCTCGAAATCACCCCTTACACAACGATGGAAGGGTCGAGTCACGAGCAGATAATGGCCGGGTCGATATAACCCACAAAGACTGTGTGGGGAATATACTGAAATCCGTCTGCACTATCGGACGGGTGTCAACTGGGCCGGTCTGCTTGGGAATGATACAAATTCAAGTGGAGACTCCGCGTGATTTGGTCCAAGCCGTGGCATTTCTGGACAATGGATCGGATACCAAACTTGCGAGACAGCTTTGCGCGCGAACAGGATTTGGGAAGACAAAACTCCTCACTGGTGATAAGAGCTGCACCAGGCATTCACTATCGCCGAACTACCAATGAGAGATTCCGAAAGTATCCGGTCGTTAGCGGGGCGCTGGCCTCACCTCCACGATTTGCCGTTCGAGGATGTTCCGGACACTCGAGTGGACATATTGATCGGCTGTGAGGTACCCGAGGGGCATTGGCTTTTGGACTAAATGATAGGAGGCCGTAGATATCTGTACGCCGTGCGCACGATTTTCGGTTGGATACCCTGCGAACGGCTAGTCAATGTTGATAATTACTCAGCCTCAAGCAACTACATCTCGCGAGTATCTATGTCGAGGAAAGACCGACCAACCCTGAAGTTCGTCACCGAAATGATGCGACACAACGGAACACAGTTTGAAGTGCCGTTACCCTGGCGAACGGGTTCTAATCGACTGCCCGATACTCAAGCGATAGCCCTTCATGGGCTCAAATATCCGAAGGGAAGACTGAAAATAATGCACAGTTGAAGGAAGCCTACTGTAACGCGATGAAACGAAATCTAGAGTTGGGATATATCGAACGCGCAGTGGGAGAAACTGACAAAGAGCAATCATTATGGTACCTTTCAAACCACTCATTTATAAACCCTGTGACCAGGGTTGTGTTCGAGTGTGCTGCCAAGTGTGACGGAATTGCCCTAGACGACTGTTAATTACAAGGCCCAGATCTGACAACCCCGCTGATTGAGGTGCTGTGCCGATTTCCTCTAGGGTCAGTTGAGGTACCGGCTGATATCTAGGAATTGTTCATTCAGGTCAAAGTCGCCGAAGGGAAAAGGGTCGCTTTACGACTGTGGTGGTGGCCGGAGGAAGACCTAGATGGACGTGCCCAGAAATATCGGATGACGGTGCACCCGTTTGGCGCGATCTCCTCTCTCTACAGTGCAAACGTCGTTTTAAATACGACCGTGAACCAAGTTGCTCAGCGTTTCCAAACCCCGGATGACTCCTGTATTAAACATAACTTTTATGTGGATGACTTCTTAGGGTCCTTTGAAGGATCAAAAGACGCAGTTCGACACATCAGCGACTTATCTA